TGAATCTCTTCAGTCTCCGCAAGAGGAGACTGAGGGGGGATCTTGTGGCTGCCTACAACCTTATCAGGGGCCAGCAGCAGGGACTCGGGGAAAGTCTGTTCACCAGGGCCCCCCTTGGAGTCACCAGGAACAATGGCCACAAGCGGAGGGAGGATAGGTTTAGGTTAGATATTAGGAAGAACTACTTCACTGTGAGGGTGGCCAGAGCCTGGAATAGGCTCCCCAGAGAGGTGGTGCTCTCCCCTTCCCTGGAAATCTTCAAGAGGAGACTGGACAGGCACCTGGCTGGGGTCTTATGACCCCTGCCACCCCCAGTGCTCATTCCTGCCCATGGCAGAGGGTTGGACTCGATGATCCTTCCCACTCATCGAGTCTATGATTCTAAGTATAAAATGCAAAAGAGGCTGCCAGTATACAAGTCTAACTTTCCATTAGGAGAGTTTTTACATATTGGATTACCAGCATCAGACTGTAATTTTTCTGTATTTGGATTTTACAAGGTGTTTTCACGGTTACCCTGTATAAGCCACATAATCAGGGGCTGTAGGCCTAAGTGCCTGTGACATCAATTGAGAAATGTGCAGTATGACCTAATCTGCACCCATATGTAGAGTGGATTCCATGGCAACAATTCTGACCACTAACCACTTTGCCTTGAAAGATGCATTACATCAGATTTCTCTTAATTGGCTGCAGATGGAGGTACCAGCAACATTAAACAAAGGCAAAAAAGGGGGCACGGCAAATTTTCTTTGCAAGATATTAAAGCTGAGATTCCTTCAAAGCCACATGAAGGAATTATATATCTCATATAACTGAGAAATGGGGGCTCATCTCGTGGGCTTTTACTGCATTTACTCAAATATAAGATGACTCCCCCCCAGTAATTAGATTCTATGTATGGAAAACTTATAAATTTGTTATAATTTTCCGGATATAGAATCTGAGTATTGGAGGGGGAGAATCCTGAATTCTCCCTGCCTGCTCCATCATTACAGCAGGGAAAGCAGTGGGTGGGGGGTCGGGGTCAGGCCCTCTGCCCCCACCCACTTCCTCCCCCTGAAGCCTTGCTGCTCCTCCCTGCCACCTGCACCCCCTCAGTCCTTGCTTCTGCCAGTCTTTGTCTCTTTCCCCCTGCTCCTCCATCTGCCTCTTCCCCTGCTTCCCTCTGCTTACAGTCAGATACTGCTTGGGCTGCTGTGTCCTGGAACACAGCATGTGGAAGCTCAGCCTTTGCCTGGCCATGCAGCAGTGTCAGCACTGCTGGTTGGCTAGGCAGGAGAAGAAGTTTTCATGTGCTGTGTGCTCCAGAGAGACCCCGGCCTGAACTGGAGCCAAGCTGCACCTGACAGTAAGTGGGGTGGGGGAGCAGGTGGGCTGAAGCTGCGGACGGGAAGTGGAGGTGGGAGCAGGAGGCTGCTGCGTGTTGGACTCTAGCCCTTGAGCCCAGGTCAGGGCCAGAGTCATATAAGGTGAGTGGCTGTTTTTCTCATGCTGTTTTGTGGGGTGGGGTGGGGGAAGGGGCACCTCACCTTGTATTTAAGTAAATACTGTAAATGTTAATACTTTCTAGTCTTTTACTAGCCTGAGAACATCTGGGAAGTTTTCCCTCTGGCTGTGGAAAAGAGTGGTTCCTAGATGTAACTCTGTAGTAACATTTTGTCTGCTTCCATTTCAGGTCAAATGACTGACCTGGTTTATTCAGAGAGAGACTTGGTGCGATCTCTGAAGGAATATATTAGAGAGGAAGAGTCCAAGCTCTCTAAGATTAAAAGGTAAGAGAAAGGACTGTGCAACTGTTTTACTTGGACTGTAAGTGTCTTCATGCCTTCATCTCTGTCACAAGATCTGGTTTAGTATTTCCCCTGGTGCTAGGAAAAGCATAAAGTGGGAGCATAAAAAGCGGAGAACACTATGTGCCCTCCCTGCTTTCCTTGAGGACAGTAAGGATGAGCGGTCTCCGTCTCGGGGTTCTCTTGTCCATTCCTCCATTCTTACGAGAGAGCAGTAGTCAAGACTGTTCTGCTTCGCTCCCCAAGTCAACTGGTTAAAACACTTCATCTTCAATGAAGATGTGGCCGCCGTTACCTGTTATTCTTCTCTGGTGCTCTGCATTGATGTGCTTGACTTAAACTGCTTCTGTATAGTCTACCTGAGCATTTCATAGCATGCAGATAATAATAGCATGCTTGTTTGACCGTTGATTCAAAGCATCATGAGTTTAATATTGCACTGACTTCCTGGGTACTTCTGATGGTAATCTTAAAGTGGTAACCAAGGTGGCAACCTTAAAGGATCCAAAACATTATCTAAGGCTAAGTACAGACAGTCAAAAAACCCAAGGCTAAATTGATTCAATGTTTGCAGGATAGTCTAATTTGCATTGCTTAAACCAATAAGCAAGTGAACGGACGTTCACTTTTGATTCCAGTGGCCTAGGCCAGAAGCTGGAGGGCGCTAGAGCACGCCACCCCGCTCAGCTGGGCAGACAGCTTTGGTTAAGGCTAACCTGTCCACCCTGCAAGGGGGGGGAGGGGGAGTTGGGGGGGGAGGTGCAAAGCATCCTAGGATGTTGGAGGACTGATTTGACTTGAAGTTGGAGGGGATCTGGGACAGAAACTGAATAAATGGATTTAATCTAAGCCACTGAAGTCTGATACTGCATCCATCCAGGTTTATCTTGAACTGGTTTTGGCTATTTTGAAAGCAGTTTATGTGCACTGAACTTCTGTTGTGTTACAGATTTGAACTGGTTTCTAATCACTCATACCAGTTAATGTGCAATTTCTGTCCATAGTCCAAGTGCCTAGATCCCCAAGTCCTCTCCTTAGTATCTGACTAATGCTGGAGGCACCTAAACTCTTCCCTTTATGACCTGGGATTCCCTAGCATCTCCTGTTCTGTGCTGGTTGCATGCCCAGAACTAGCCCTAGGCAGTTGTGAGCTTAGGATTCTTGTCTTTCTAGGTCTCGTTTGAAATTAAAAAAATAGGCAAAGTAGTTTGCAGGTCTTCAGAAGGACCTAACCTTGCAGGCATGCTTTAACCAGGTCTAGCACATGCCAAAGGTACTGAGTTCAACATTACACACAACAGTCGTAGCTACCTTCAATCAAACACATGGCTGGAGGAGGTTTTTGTAGTGCTTGCCTATTACATACCATTCTGGAGGTTAGAGCCCTTCACTAGGAAGTGGGACACTTACATTCTAGCTCCTCCTAGCCTGTGGGGATTCAAACCCACATCTCCCACTTCCCAGAAAAATTCCTGAGCCACCAGGCAAGAGGCTGTTTTGGAGGGGGAGACACCCTCCATCCCTTCTGCTGAAATTGAGCCACAGAACAGCCAAAAGTGTAATATTCCTGGGGGTCAGGAAGAGAACAAGCACAAAGAAATATGACTGTAGCTTAATTAGTATTGGCACTTGGCTGGAAGGGGAGTTCAGGCTATTTCTGACACTGCCATCAACTGAGATGTTTCTGCTGGCAGTCACTTTTCTGATGGCTCCAAAAGGCAGATTGTGGTTAAAAAGCACTTTCATTCACCTAGGGGATTTGAGCATTAATACATGCTTTGGATGGTGCATGGATTACAACATCACAGATAGAGGGACAACACCCAGGTATCTCAGAAGGGTCAGGCAGGGTCAGAAGTGCTGTGCATCCATCACTGACACTGCAGTGCTCAGCACTCCCAACTATTTTCTGTGGGTAATGAAACATTGCAAATGTTCTGCTGCTTAATTTAAGTAACCAGGCAGGAGCCAATCTTTCATGAAATTTCAGTCCTTTAAGCAGTGGGGTGGAATCTCTCTCCATAAACCTTAAGATCCAGTGACTATATTATCTCTTAAAGGGAGGCTGCCAGGTCAGTCTAGGCTTTTGTCAAAACAAGCCTTTGCATAAATATCATCTGCAGAAACATCTGTCTGAATGTCAGCTACAATTTTATTTTCAGTAGAAGTAATTTGGATTAATTTTAAAAGCCAGAACCTTTTTCCCCCACCTCACCTAGTGTTAACTTAAATATTGTAGCATCCTGCTAGTATATGAAGAAGTGGAAATAAAAGCCAGATCTGCTACTTTTACTCATGCAGTAGTTCTCTATTACTCGGTCTCAATAGTTTCATTGGCATTACTAGAAGGAAGCGCATGGCCCATTGGTAAAGGTGGTAGCCTGCAACTTTGGAGTCTGTTTCAGTGCCATGCCCTGCCACTAACCTCTTGTATGACTGACCAGACCATTTAGCCGATCTCTGTGGGACCCTTGGAAGAAATGTGCTTGTCCTGGGTTCCCTCGGATCATGAGCAATGTGCAAATCCTCTAACACTTGGACACCCAGATTTTACTGGTATGATAAATGCACAATGAATTAAAGACTGCTACTAATAGTCCTAATAGTTAATACTTGAAACAAATAATAGTTTCAATACTATTATTAGTCTTAGCACTACTACTGCTAAGATACTGCTCAGTGAGTAATACCAGGGTTTACTGCTTATTCTGTAGAGAGTGAAGTAAATCTACCCTAATTTCATTTTTATTATTTATGTTATTAAAATTGCGAGCTTGAAAAATGTTAAGGTAACTTTTTGTTGTGGTTAAAAATGAGGTTCAGGTTAAAAAATAATTTCTGTAAAGGTTTTATGAAGAAGTAGCTGTATATTCTACTTCGGAGCCAGACTTTTCGAATGTATAGAGAAAGATGAACAGAGCCATTTATTCACAAATTGTTTATCTTGTTTTTGTTAGCACCATCATTTTTTCATGACCTACTTGACTTGGAGACTCTAAGATCACAAGTGGAAGCTGATGGACTGCTCTCAGTGAAGCCCAAGAGCAAAGATGTTTTACATTTGTTTTGCCTTGACAGAGTACTGACTTTCCATAGTGTATTGAAGAGAGGCAAAACTTTGGCACATGATTCTTATAAGAGCTAATATATTGGTGGACTTGAGGGAGACTACTATAGCCTTAGTAAAATGTCTAGCTAAAATAATAATTTGGATCATATGTCATGCAATGGCATATAAACGCTCATCAGTAACATATTTTCTCTTTTGAAGCTATGAAGAAAAATTCATCCCCAGTATCTGACATTATCCTCATTTAGCTATTGTCATCGGAAGCCTCTTTTATAACTTGAAAAAGTCAAGAGTCCAGTTTCCCGTCTCCTTTCACGGGGTTACTGTAAGAAGCTAAAGAGATCTTAGAAAAGCAGAGTGATTCTGAATTACTGAGATGTAAATAAGTGACTGGTTCAGAATGATTATGCTGTAATCACCCTGCACTATGACCATTTTTTATGATTGGGGTACTTGGGGCATCATCACAAATTAGATTCCTTTAAGACGGTAACACAGCACTAGTGTAGTTAAATCAGTTGTCACAGTCAGGGTGGCTAGGATCTGGAACCAACTTCCAAGGGAAGTGGTGCTCACTCCTACCCTGGAGATCTTCAAAAGGAGGCTAGACAATCACCTTGCAGGGGTTATTTGACCCCAGCATCCTTTCCTGCCCATGGCAGGGGGTTGGACTTGGTGGTCTGCTTAGGTCCCTTCTGACCCTACCAACTATGAAACTGTTTCACTCGGGAAGAGTGAAAACTAGCCCTGCAGCTCTGCACGTGTTTTAGATGTGAAATTAAAATGACTTGCACTCGTAAATCTGCTCACAGATTCAGGCATACTCCTCTTTTTTTCCAGCTGGGCTGAAAAAATGGAGGCAGTGACTAGCAAATCAACATCAGATCCAGAAGGGTATCTGGCACATCCAGTAAATGCATATAAGCTGGTGAAGCGCTTAAATACAGAGTGGCTAGAATTGGAGAATCTAGTTCTTCAGGACACTACAAATGGTAAGGCATTCAAGGCAAGAAAACACTTTTCTGTAACTGCTGTAAGACCATCTCTTCTTTTCCCCACTCATACAGCAGAAGCTCAGATTCAGTCATGGTTTTGAATATTGTCGCTAGAATTGTGGAACAGCTTCTTGGTTTGTGGTTACCATTCCCCATTTCCATTCGTTCAACACCCAAAGAAATCCTGAGCTAGACCAGAAGCAGTTTCCCTAGTTTTGATTAGTTTTAGTTTTATTAGTTATGGGAGGCCTTTTTGCTCTTTTGGAACATCAGGTGAAGAGCAGGATTGCGTTTCAAAAGGTCCAAATGTTAAGATGCTTGTCTTGTAAAGTATTGCTTGTCTTGAGAGTTGTGTTGTTAAGGCATAGGTCTTGTTCCACTCAGTCTTCCCTATCTGCTTTTCTTTCTTATTTTCACACCAAGCCCATGCGTGTTTGGTCTTGGATTGATTTGGCCTTTTGATAAGTGGATGGAAAGACTTCAAAATCGAACCATGCTGCCCAGACTGGCTCTCCAGGGGTTTCTGATCATTTCCAGCACTAACAGCTGGTGGATATTGTAGAGTTTGTGTTGATGACAACTATTTTATTTCTTTATTCATGAGCCTATTGTAAACAATCTTCCATATGCTAACCTTTTGCAGCATAGCCTTCAGAGAGCCTGCCTTGGATAGTTTCACTTCCTCAAGCTTAAACACTTGTACTGCCAGTTTATTTTTATTGGACTTTCTGAAAGTAACAGAAGAAAAGGAGGAAATATGTTTTTTCTCTGAACTGCACTGCATGTTTTTAGTTTCCACTCAGTTTAGGCTAAAGTTTAGAAGCTTTGAAAACTTTTTTTTTTTTTTTTTGGTGAAGACTTTATCAAATGGTGGAATAGTCCCTCTGAAGAAAACGTAATGCTAATCTTTTTGGACAGACAGTTAATTCTACTGTGTTTATACTTCTCATCTTAAAAACTTTCTTTGAAAACTGGTACAATTGTGTTTTGCTGTAAGATTTAAAATGGCAGAGTTTTGTTTTTCTGTTCTTTAAAAGGGTTATGGGATGTTTCAATCCATATACCTATTTGCATTTGACTTTATTCAGTCTGTTCTGTTAGTTAGTGCCTAAGAAAACAGGAACTAAAATGGCTCTGCTCTTATAACCTCATGACGTTGACCCAGTTCAGTTTTTTGTACTAAGCAGAATCCACCTGGTCTTGTGGATTAATTTCTGTAAGTAAAAGTACTTGCATTTCTTTGTTAAAGATGGGTCAAAGCACAGTTTCAAACTGCAGTGTGGCCTGCCCTTACCCCAAGAGAGTAAATGCTTAGTTTCTTTCCTTTGGAAATCTCACAAGTGTGATCTGGTTAGGGCTGACGGTCTGCCTTGGACCATCTGAGATTTTTCAAGCTTGTCTGTATTAGCTGGCACTCTGCATTCAAACTTGAAAGGCCTCTTGAAACCTAGTAGAGAAGGATCGCAGCAGTCTTGATGAGACACTGCCTCAACAGAAATCAGGGGAGCTGTCAACATGTATGGTGGGGAGATGCATAGAGGATGCATGTATGAAAAGCAGTGTTTGGGCTATAATATGCATAGCTGTACTTTTGTTAATAGCTTAGTCTTTTCTCATAGTATGCAGTTTATGTTGGGATTTCTGGCATTTTTTTTAGCTTGAGTTTTAACTTTTTTATAAAACAAAACAGTATGTAGAAAACAACATTTAATGACTTGAGCCTGGTAAAAGAATGATTCAGTTGTTTGATACCTGTTGAGGAAAGTTGCAAAACAAACCTGATGTTCATGGTCCTGAACTAGTCTGATTTTTTTTTTTTATCTAATTATTTGAATAGTGGAACTAATTCATTCCTCCCTGTTTTTAACTTAAGGCTTTATTGCAAACCTCACAATACAACGCCAGTTCTTTCCAACTGAGGAAGATGAGACAGGAGCTGCTAAGGCTCTAATGCGTCTACAGGACACATATAAGCTGGATCCTGAGACCATTTCTAAGGGAGTACTACCAGGTAACAGAGCAGTTCTCTCCTCTGCATATTCAGCTAGGTGAAAAAGGTGGTTGACACTTTGGACCTTTTTAAAAACTTTTACCAGTCTTCTGAGCAGTCCTATTATTTCACATGATTTTAAAGATCCGAGAACCTAAGACTTGTTTGAATTTTGGGGTTTTAATACTTTATGACTTAAGGGTTTTTCCTATTATCCTTAAGAATTGGCCATCCCATGTCCAGTGAAGGATGGGTGGCCATATGAAATCTTACACTGTACCTGTAACTGAAAGGATGGTGTGAAGTTCTGCAGCCATGAGCACCTTCTCAACAAAACTCTGTTAAAAGAGTCTTCAAAATTCATTAAGTGGTTTGTCAACAAAGTTGAGGAAGTTCTCCAAAAAAAAATGACCAAGTCCTCCAAATGTTACGTGAGTTCATAGAATGTATTATTCAAGTCTCCTTAGTAGGATGTTATATGTCTAGTTTCTTATTGAAAGCCATTTTGATTGCAAACTTCACTACACTTTTACTGTTGCATTTTAGCCCTCTTAACTGGGAGACCTGAAAGTGCTATCAGACTTTTGTTGGAAGGGTGCTCCTAGCAGAGGCTTAACAATGACGAACAGTCAGGCACCATTGACCTGGTAAACAGAAGCATCCAAGAAAAATGAGCTGGTTACAGTCCAGTAAACAGGTTCTCCCAGGTGGGCTGTAGCTAAGCAACAAATGTCTGATACGGGATTTGGAGGCTCCCAAGGGATATACCTGATGGAAGGGGCTGCATAAGAAATCTCTGGTAGGTATGTGTGAGAAATATGCAATGAGATGGCAAGGCAAGCAGAAAGAAATTGGGCTGCTTAGTATTGTTAACACTTCAGATCCTCCAGTCACACCTGTTTTCTCTAAGTAGCTTACACATGTGTTTATATTTTCCCAGAGCAGCAGTCTCCCTCAAGGACAAGAATTTTTCATCTGAATTTTTTTGGTTTTGGTAGTATAGAAGCAATTGTGGCAATAGTGTAATCATGTCTTCTTGCATAGATACAGCTCTGAAGACACAAGCTTCTTTAAGTGCTAGTTCAGGCTTGTTCATGGGCAAGTTGCACAAGGTAAGGGTAAGTTGGGATTTTTGGCTGGTTGACTCTTTTTTGCAGGGAGTCATTGCAGTAGGCACAATCTTTTAAAAAAGCAAAAACAAAACAAAAAAAGTGTTGATTTATAGTATTTGGAGTTCCGCTTGCCTTAATTATGATTGTCACACAGCCAGGGACCACTAGCTCCTCACTGTACCGGTCACTATAGAGCAATAATACAGGAAGTTCTTTTGCTAGGGAGCTCCCACTGTGACAGTATGGCTCAGCAGTTTGAGCACTCAGCTGGGATTTGAAAAACTTGCATTTTGACTCATGACAAGTCACATGGCCTCTTTTTGACTTAGTTCCCTACCATGAGTATCACTTCCTTAACACATGAGGAAAGGGAAAGCGAAAGGGGAAAATGCACTGAATATTTTGGCATGTGCCTATTCCATGGTAACCAGGGTATGTGGTAGGCCGAGGGCAAGATAAGATTTAGATTCCTGATTTTATGCTAAAGTCATTGGTTTCCATGGAAGTTAATCTCATGGAATTGTGGCCAGTTATGGTCCTTATCTCTCTTGAAGCTAAATGGATCTTACTGAGCTGGAGAGGGTCTAAAATCTCACCACTATCCACTGTCACGAGGTTTTCCAGATGATAAATTCCATCGCTAACTTGCAGTCTGTTTCCAAACAAGACAGCTTTTGACTTGGGAACATTTGAATAGGGTACTTAAAGCTTTATCTCTAAATTTTAGGAACAAAGTACAGGTCGTCTTTGACAGTGGATGACTGCTTTGGCATGGGAAAAACAGCTTACAATGATGGAGACTACTATCACACAGTGCTGTGGATGCAGCAGGCTTTAAAACAGCATGAAGAAGGAGAGGAATCCTCCATCACAAAAGCAGAGATCCTGGACTATCTCAGCTATGCCGTCTTTCAGCTCGGCGACTTGCACAGGGCCATGGAACTCACCAGACGTCTCATTTCTCTTGGTAAGAAGAACAAATGATCCATTTTTTTTAAAGCCAGAGCATACTGTAGGGGGCAATGCCAAAAACATCTGCATCCTATAAATATTAGGGTTGACAGCCAGAATATTCTGCTATGTGACATACCATAAACGCTTACACTGGATCAACAGTTTATTGTGCTGAACACCTTCCATCTCAAAATGTATCCCACAATCCATGCAAAGCTTACCCAAAATATCAAGCTTGCGTGTGATGTCCCTGCATGAGGTTTGTTGTTTGCATGATGGCAAAGCTTGGGTTTGAACATGAAGGGGAAGGTCTCTGATCACCAGGGATCCTGGCTTTCTCTGGTAAAACATCAAGAATGCTCTGATTTCTTTTAAAACCCCCAAAATCCGTGATTAAAATGAAAGGACCCCCTTGGCCCTGCTCCTGCCCTTCACTCCTCCCACAACCCCCAGCCCTGATGGTGCCCCTTACCTCCCACCCACAGCTCCTGCTCCCCCTGCCCTGTGGAGGGGGGCCCCCAGCTGCCAGGGCTACAAGGCCTGCGACCCAGGTCCACAGCCCCCTGCCTCTGGCAGGAGGCAGCGGCTGCTACAGTGGAGTGGAGTCCAGGTTTACCCCTGTTTCCTGCCCACTGCGGGCTTGGGGGGGTGCTGCCTGCTGCTGTGAGCTCCATGCTGCCCTGGCGAAGCACCCCCTGCCTGTGTGGCTGCAGCAGGGGCAGCAGCACAGGGTTGCATGCAGGGGATGCAGGCAGCACGGAGCTCGCAGCGGTAGGCAGCTTTCTGCATGGCTCTGCTGTTCCCTGCAGCACCGAGTCGCACATACTGACTGCCCTTCTCCCACTCCCTGCAGGCTGGAACTCTGCCCGCCTGCAGAGAGCTTGTCCCAAAACTGCAAATCCTCAGGTTTCTCCGGTAAAATGAGAAATCTGCATTTGCCTCTAGTAAAAAGGTGAAATCCACATTTTACTTAATTTTTCTGTGGGAAACTGAAGATACGGATCCCGCTGATCACTTGCTTAGGTGCTGTTTTCTCCTGCAAACCTCTTGCCTTCCTCACTCCTTTTTGCCACAGATATTTATAGGATGGGAAGCTTGCCCACTTGAATGAACTGGGTCTAGTTTAGGCCTGGGCAAACTGCCTAATGCTTCTAATCAAGCTGCAAGTAAAGGTCTTGACAAGGTTGAGCTATGGAAAATGAAAGTTTTGAGGTGGCCGTGCCCTAAAGTTGGTCATCAGCACACGGTGCCCCAGCTTGCATCATAAGCTATCTTAAAATGACTTCCTTCAGGAGCTGCCTGTGGGTCCTGAGGTGTAGTTTGGCCACTTCTGATCTAGTTCATGCCTTTTTTTTTTTTAAGTGTCTTCAAGTTGTAGCAGTTGTGCTTCCACTGCTTTCCCTCTAGGTTGGAGAATGAGCTATAGGTGAAGTGCAGTGGGAAGGAATGGTGGTTATACTTAGCCATATTTTACATCGAATGTTCTTCACAGCTCATGCCTCAGTCAGCTGGGGTTGTACCCCTCTGCACTTTTAAATAGCCTTTAGCTGTCTCTTGGTAGAGGCTGAAGAGTTGTTATATTAAAAAGAAAAAACACTCACCAGTATAATTTGGTAAAACTCTCTGATGTCCTCAAATGAGATTCATCCTTCTTTTACATATTTATTAAACGTTGTCTCCTATGCTGCAGCACATCGCAGTGTACTTTGCCCGTGTTAAGCCTTTATCAGCACCACTGCACAACAGACCTGGCCTGCCAGTAGTGGCTTAGTGGTGTTATGACATTTAAAAAGGGCACTTGTTACTCTACCACGATAGTTTCATAGATTTCATAGACATTAGGGCTGGAAGGGACCTCGGAAGATCATCGAGTCCAGCCCCCCGCCCAAAGGGCAGGAAGTCAGCTGGGGTCACAGGATCCTAGCAAGATAAGCATCCAATTTGCTCTTGAAGATGTTCAATGTAGGTTCTCTGAACCACCTCTGATGGCAGGCTGTTCCAGACCTCAGGGGCTCAGACAGTAAAGAAATTCTTCCTTATGTTCAGCCTGAAATGGTCTTGCAGGATTTTATAACCGTTCAACCTCGTCATCCCTTGGGACGCTCTGGTGAAGAAATGTTCCCCCAGATCCTGGTGGTCACCCCTGATAAACTTATAGATGGCCATCAGATCACCCCTGAGCCTGCACTTTTCCAGGCTAAAGAGCCCCATGGCTCTCAGCCTGTCGTTGTAAGGTCTGTTTTCCTGACCTCTGATCATGTGCGTGGCTCTTCTCTGGACTCTCGAGCTTCTCCACATCCTTTTTGAAGTGTGGAGCCCAAAACTGGACGCAGTAATCCAGCTGTGGCCTCACGAAGGCCAAGTACAAGGGGAGAATGACATCCAGGGATTAGTTAGTAGTTCTTTTTCATGCAGTCTGGGAATGGTTCCTGTTATAAGATTAAAGAGTGGGTGGGGGAGGAAGATTTGTTACTAAGCGTAAGGGAGAGCAGCCCTGAAGGTGTTGCCAGAAGTGGACTCAAACCAAAAGCCCAGAGATGAGCACACCAATCTCTCTGCGAGACTTATTTTGGTTTGAATCTGAGATATTGCAGAGAAATCCAAGAATATTTTTGTCTTGGAAGCAATGTAGTATCTTGCCCAACTAACCAGGCCAAGCAAGCAAGTTGTAGCACCTGAACTGTACTCTTACCCTAGATACTCCCACTTGCTTTGAAATGCACATTGCCTGTACAGGATCATGACCAGCTTCCTTGCAGGTGAATTGCTCAAGCTCTCCTTGCATGTATGCCTATATTGAATCTGACTTTGTGCTAATATGACACTGGAGGATGGAGCTTGTGTGTCCATTTGAAAAATAGTGTTTGCTGTGGCGAGGCTGGCATGGGCAGATGACCGCAGTATTTTGAGATGAAGTCTTTCACTGACCAGATTCCTGCAATGGTGTAACTCGTTAGTCCTGTCTATTTTTTATTCCCCTCTGAAGATTCCACTCATGAGAGGGCCGGAAGCAACCTGCGATATTTTGAGAAGTTGCTGGCGAAGGAAAGGATGGAGACGTTATTGAACAAGACGTCCACTAGAACAGAACCGGTGATGCAAGGAGGGGTCTATGAGAGGCCTTCTGACTACCTGCCTGAGCGTGAGATCTATGAAGGTCTGTGCAGAGGTGAAGGAGTGAAAATGGTAAGAGAAGCATAAAATACCAACAGTGATAACCAGTTTGTGGTGTTCTTCCCAAAACTTGCATTGCACTACACACTTCCAAGTACTAAGGCCTTTCTATAGCTTATGGCAAATGATCTAGTTCATACTTCACCCTGAAGCCTGTAGCATTCTTGGGAGTGGGGAGGGAGAGAAGAAAGGAAGAGTAGGTGAGTTCAGTCCAGCCCATCAGTTACAGTGGTATTTACTGATTTGATATCGTCCCTTGACTCTGCTCTTGGTTTTCCATCAGAGTTCCTACAATGTGGTAATTTGGCAGAGATCAGCGGGTATGGTATAGTAGCAGACTCCATTCACTTTCTAGTCGCTCCATTTTCAAGTTGACTGCTGGGTAAATGCAAACCATTACTCAAATACTGTTTATAAAAAGGAATAATCTGGAGAGAATCGTTTTTTCCCTCATCTTAGTCCAGGAAATTTACTATTCTCTGCCAGTAGGTGGTGAAAAGAACATAGTTTTTACTGCTTTGGAGAGCTATATATATACCTATAGGAAGTGTGGTTGGTAGCTGCTTGTCCCCCAGCAGGTAGCAGCAGACCTTCCTAACTGTACTGAACTTATGTACAAATACTCTGTGTTGCTGAGAGGGCTTGGGTTCTTCCCTTTGTGGGGTGAGTTAGTTATTGCCCTTGGAAGCAGCCTGCAGTGGAACTTTGTTTTTATATGGTGCTATCTGAACAGCTAAGTAGGAAAAAGTGTCTTCCCGATGCTTCTCTCAAAGGGTGGTGAAAACAGTTGTCCAGCCAGTTATGCTGAGCATGCATGGTAGCAAAGGATTCTAGCAGCCTTTTCCTGTTTTGAACTTTGTCCCTGTAGGACTTCTTAATCATTGCTCAAGGAAGGGGAGAAAGCATGATTTTTAATACCTGTTTCAACTATGGTTATAAATCCCAGAGTAATTGCAGCCTTTTTGTCTTCTGGGCTTTAGAGATTTTTTTTCCTCCCCTACCAACCCAGCTGCAATATCTTGCATGCAAGACAGCTGCCTACTTTGTCATTTGGTCTCCATTGTACATTACAGATTATGATTAAACACTCACAGAGTAAAGTTCCACACCACTTACTCAAGGGTGCACAGGAGGAAGGGCTGCTTTCTGCTCACAGATGTTTGCAGAGACATAGTCTAGTTTTTACCTGGTTAAATTCACTACGTCCGCTAGACTGGACATCCAATTTTCCAGTATCTCCTTTAGTATGGCAGAAAGCAAACTGTTTTCATAGCTTTAAACATTTTTAAAGGAGTAAAAATGAAACTAATGTAAGTGTGTGTTGTCTGGGGATTTTATGGATCAGACACCTCGGAGACAGAAGAGGCTGTTCTGCAGGTACCACGATGGAAACAGGAATCCCCATCTGCTCATAGCTCCCTTCAAGGAAGAAGATGAATGGGACAGCCCTCACATAGTTCGATACTATGATGTCATGTCAGATGAAGAAATAGAGAAAATCAAAGAATTGGCTAAACCAAAGGTAAGCGTTCCTCGTCTTGCACTTCATCTCACCATTGGCTGCTAGTTCCATGCCCTAGCTCTAGCAGGGAAGGTGGGGTAAGTGGATATTAAACATGTGAAACTGAGCTAATATTGTGTGAAACTTTAAGGTGAATCTTGCTTAAGTGCCTCGTGGGCTGTTTGCTTGGCATGAAGCAATGCCATGTACAGCTGTGCAAGGTAGCCCTGTATGTGCTGGATCCTGGATCAGAAGGAATACAGCCACACTTCAAGATGATCTCCATCTAAGCTTACTTGGCTCTTTTAGGGATTGGGCATAATTAGATGGGGTGCAGCATTGCCTGAATGGCTATGCTACTTCTGAATTGGGAGTTGACATACACAGAGCTACCTCTAGATGTTAGGATCCCAAGGCCCAGGTTTTTAAAGGCATTGCAGTGTTGAACAAAGCAAGACCCAAATCCCAGTAAATATCAGTGCATTTAGAAGATTAAATCCCATTGATTTCAGTCGAAGTGAGTTTTACGTGGGTTTTTCAGAGCCTGAAAATGCTGCTTGAGTTAGGCTCTGATTGAGCTTGTTGTGGACAAACCTCAATAACACTGCAGTTCAAGGAAGTAGGGCATGACATGGAGTATAACGAATAGAGCATGCTTTGTGCACTCCTCCACAGTAGCTCACAGCCTTCGATTATTAGAACTGGTTTCTTCGCAACAGGAAATACTGGTCAGTGTAAAAGCATTGCATGCTCTTTTTCTAAAGGTGTTTTGAGATACTGGAAGTATCTCTATCCTCCACCTTGTGAGCTGCCAGCAGGGCAGAAAAGGGCTTGGTTTGGCAGCTCCCTTCCTTCCCATTTGAAGCACATGTCAAACAGTCTCAGAACTGATTTTTATGAGCCTAAGTTTCGGTGTGTTTACTCAGATTCTGAACTGTAGTGACAGCATAACTGATGAACAATGATATGCTGTGCTGTACAGGTACCGTGAACCTAACATTTCTTGTACATTTGTCTAATCTTTAAGCACTGAAATTACCTCCTTTTATATGCTAAATTCCAATAAGGAAAACAAGTGCTACTGAAGATAACATGCATTTTGGTCTGTCAAGTTTGACAAGAAGTTAAAACTCACTTCACTTATGGTGGGGTAATGAATTATTCATGTTAACCTTTTTCTTTTAGCCATTGCTGTAAACTGTAAACCCTGTCAGGATAATCATTGTGCTTATATCATTTTTAATAGAACATGTAAGTATAATTGGATCAGAGTGAGAAATTGATACCTTCAGGAACATGAATTATATTTAGGAAGTTCATGAAGCTCAGACTTCTATGCCTACCAGCCAGCTGCCTTGGCAGCAAACTTTTTATGTCTGTTTTGAAGCCTTGCTCCTCCAGGAACGGAGGTTATTAACCACAGTTCCACCATGCTTTAAAACACTTTTTGGAACTTTAAAAGTTACTCAAATTCAAACCAATCCATGTTACTGACTTTTTTTTTTTTTCCCTTTCTAATCAAAGCAAATTAGTTTCAAGTAAGATGGTCATTAACAGCTCATTTAACCTAGCCTGCTCTTGGTGCTCAGGAATATATCCTATATATGAAAACCCAGGGGCCTTGTTCTCACTGTTTTCATATTGGTATACCACCATTGATTTAAATGGAATTCCATTTGATCTGCACCCATGTATGTGAAATCAGGGTGAGGCCCAATGAAAGTAGGTAAACTATATAGTTTTAGATGTATATGTACATGTATATATATTCTGGTGCAGTTCGCAAAAATTTAATTTTTCAATCTCTGTGATCTAATTGCAGAGTTGCTTTGAAACTGCAGTGTTATGGCTAAAAAAGTGGAAACTAGAATGCTGTGATGGGATAATTCCTTCATAAAAAAATATTTTTGAGCCAGGAAACTTTAGTCAGGAATCATGAGAGCTTTGCAGAGAGAACTTGGAGGTAGGGTACAGTATGAGTCTCCTGGATCTTGGGACCACCTGTGTTTTAGTCTAGAAGACCTCCTTGAAATCTCTCCTCTCTGTTCCAAGCAATTGTGAAATTGGTTCACGTTATAGTGCCAAGTGAAGATAGCTATGCAAATATTGTATTTTTCATGTTTCACTTACAAAACACAGTTGGTTTTTGTTCTGATTACAAGGCAATTTTAACTTTAAACAGGAAATTACTTGCTTTCTAAGTAAGTGTCTCCCGTGAACCAAGAGAAAGTTCAGTAAAACTCTGGATTTTACTGGCGTGGAACAGTTCTAGCAGGTTAATATAGGATGAATCTAGATTTCAGTACTGGGCTTGTTTGTAATCCCCATGTATCTGCTTAGACAGAGGTGTAGCAGAGAGTATTTATGGAGCATTGCTGGATTTGGACAGATAATACTGTTGGTCATCTTGGTTTGCAGGGAGAGCTGTGCTCTGAAAGTCTTGAAGCAGCAGCTGGGGGATGGTCTAAACTGGATCCAAAACTCTATTTAAAGAGATGATCTGGTAAAGGAAGGTTAGATGTAATTCTCTGAGTAGAGCAAGTGTTTCATACCAGTTCTATACATCCTACAAAATACCTGTTACCCAGACTCTTCTCTCTCCCACTGAAAGAGCTTGGCCTAAAGAAAGCTTAAAGAGCTTGGGTCTTGGCTTTAAAGAGCTTGGCTTAAAGAAAAGATCTGCAGTACTTTTTACCGTCTGCCAGCCATTATCTGTTGTGACTAGGTCTATCATAGGCTGAAAATAGTGTGTGAAAGAGTCTGTTTCACAGTCAAATGAACCATTTGGTCACCAAACAAGAGATGACACGGGTTAATGATGTAGCCAGGCATATTTTGTCTTCTCTTCATTCAGGTCAACTTGTGGCTACAGAAAGAAGCCATATGGTGAGCTTCAAAATGGAGACATAATGAAGAGTTTGGAAAGCTAAATTGTATCTCTAAAAGCAATGCCTCATTGTACAAATAATGAACAACGTTCAGCCAGCTTGACTTTCCTGCTGTGATTTATGGAGCAGAGATCTGGAATAAAATACCAAATGAGTCAGAATCATGGGAATAGTAATGCCAAGAAAACTAACGAACAGATTATAAGACAAACCAGAGCAGGACATATTTAGGGGAATATGAAGGAAAATCTGAGCAGGCAATGGGAAAAGAAAAAGAAAAGGGAAGAGAAATGAGGGAGAATTTGTAATTAAATGGGATGGAAGTGGTGGGGGAGATGGACTGAAAATGTTTCACTACCTACAGAACATACTTGCAGTGTAGACTCATTTGATTCAGCAGAGTAGAAATTCTGGCTTTAATTTATTTTTGGTTGAGTGTTTAAATCCTGAGTGACCCAGCTGGTTTCGGTGGAGTTGCTCTGGATTTAGAGAGGTGTCACAGTCCTGCCGAGTTGCAAAAAGGCTTTGCGTCGTTCATCTTCAGAGCATACAACTAACCTCACAGCATCCTTCTGAGGCAAGGCTGTGCCATGCATCTTACAGACAGAGGAACTGGACATGTCATTTAATATCTTTATATAAGGTTAGACTATGCACTGCAGTTCTGTGGAGTGAACACACAACACATTAACTTTGGTGTAACTTGCTTTACTTTTGTAGACCAATTTAAATTATGCTGGGGTCCAGTAATCAGCTGTTGTGGGGTAACTTCCCCAGCAAGTACTATTACAGTGTCTGTCCGGTCGGTGGGAGGGAAGCCGGGTATATAGCCTGTTTACATGAAGCAAAGGGCTGCTCTGGGATAGATGTGGGCATGCTATGCCTACACCACTGTCCTTGGCTTTCTCTTGGAGTAACTTTGCACCAGATACTAGTAAGAAGGCTACATCTTATGTCTGCTGCTTGTTCATACTGCTGCAGCTGTGGCATCTCTAGGGTGTTTGAGATGTGATTGGAACTTTCTGAGCTCCCAGTTGCCAGTTTTATTGTTCGTTTGCTAGATCAGTGCTTGAACACTTCCCTGTAATCCAGGATCATTTGTAACCCCCAGCTCAGCATGTCCTTTCCCAGCACCTGTGCCACAAGATGAGCATGAACCCTTTCTTCAGGGTATTGTCCATCAAGAAAGCCAGTTGAGACCTGTCTTTGAACTGCCTCTTTTTTTTGTCATTTTGGTGAGCTCTAAGTTGCTCAGGTGCTTGCCTGACCTACTTCCATGAGCTCTTGCTGGCTACCTGGGCTGATTTTTGTCTGTTTTTCACTTCAAAAATAATGGATGGAATTGTTCTGATGCAGGGGTGCTCAACCTCCAGCCTGCAGGCCAAATGCAGCCCGCAGAACTGGACATCCGGCTCGCGGGGCTCCCCACAAGTGGGGAAACTTGGCAGTGGAGTCGGATCAGGGCTGGGCCATGCCTTGCATTGTGGGACTGGATTGGGCTGGGCCAAGCAACTCTCCACCACATAGTTGGATCAGGTTTAGGTCATTCCTCTCCCCCTGCATACCAGGAACAGGGCCAAGCCAGGCCATGCCATTCCCCCACATGCTGGGATCGGGGCACTGTCCCTCTGGCCTGCTGGGCAAAAAGTTTGGACACTGTTATTCTAATGCACCCACTCATCTTCCTTGCATTCAGCTAGCCTGTTCCAGAGGTCCAGCTGTTCTTGTCTTATTAAAGGGGGGGAAAGCTGCTTGAATTTCTTAATTTGCTTCTGTTCCTTCTTGCTAATATTGACTCAGGCTGTGCTAAAGGCTGTCTTCCACACCTGATCAGCAAGCAACATTGACTACCAGTGTCAGGAGATGCTATGGATTATGTTGCCCAGCCTTGTGGGCCAGATGAGTGGTGCAGTGCTGGTCTGTGGACCAGATATGGCTCCATGGACCTCCTCCAGCTTGCCATGCCATGCTTGCTACATGTGCACATCTGCACCATGCCTCTGCTTTCCCCTTCTCCCCCCAGCCGGTCCATGACCTGTGCTGCACACTCCAACTAGTGCATGGCCCATGCTGCGCATGGTGCCTATGCTGCTGGTCCAGGACTGTGTGGTGTGCATCCTAGACTGGCCAAGGAGGGTTGAGGGGTGCTGCATGCAGCACAGATCCTGAAGTCTATATATAGACCCAGGCCCTGCATGCAGGAATGGTCTAGTCCGCTCGGCTTAGGTCAGCTTGGACCCATGGACACCACCAGGAGCCAGGTGACAGGGCTCTGGGGTGGATGTGACCCATGGGTTGTATCTTTGATGCCCAGTGTAGCCCCTTAATTAGCCAAGGATCAATAGTTATGCCATCTGTGTTTCTCTGTGGACTGCTGTAGTGTGAAATCAGAATTGGCTCCAGACTGCAGCTCTGAATTTTACCCAGAAGTATATCTAAACCAATACTTTGAGTCTGAAAAATGAACGTGATGCATGTGGTGGAGTACTGATACTGTATGTGCGTGTGTGGTCATTATGCAACATGATAATGACTCTTTACCACTACCCCTCCCCCCTTTGCAATCTCTTTTAATGCAGTTGGCACGAGCTACAGTGCGTGACCCCAAAACAGGCGTCCTAACAGTGGCCAGCTACAGGGTGTCTAAAAGGTAAGGTTACTTGTCAGAGTGCTTGCTTTCTTGTCTTCACAATCCACTCCACCTGAACTCAGCGCTGCAGCTGTCACTGCTAGTCCACGTGCTCTTGCCGTTCTCCCCTGATCTGCATGCTTTTACTGACCTGATGTCACACAAGTGTTAACAATCTGAGTGTTAACAATTTTAGTTGCATTCGCTATAACTTTTAATCTCTGACTGCATCATACATGAGGAACAAACCTTTTTACGGGTTTTTAATACGCCCTCTTTTTTTGTTCTTCATCCTGGAAATGGAGTATTTGCACATTATTCTTTCTCCTGGGTTTAGAGATTTGATATAGATTAACTTCTATTTATAGCATCTGTACCTTTATTATCTTCTAAGATATTTTTACTTCAACCCTTATGTCAACGTGCAATTTAAAGTAGCATAATAGAAGATATTTTAATGAGGGTTTTTTTTTTTTTGTGAGTCTCTGTCCAACATACTAATATAGGTTAGCATAACTGTATTTATCCTTTTGACTTTTGGTAGTCAAATTACTTATTACCAAATAGCTTATAAAAACTGATATGTGGTAATTGTTATAGTATTGCATAGGAATCTTACAATAATGCTGTGACAGTTTGGAAGAAAAAAACTTCTTTAACAAATAATCCTTGCAGGGCCAGGATGAGGGCTACCTAGTGTGTTTCTGTTTAAGATTAATCAGCTTTTATCTCTTGCATCTCCTCTGCCATATTCCTATGAAGTACTTGGTCTTTCTGGAGGGGTAATGGGCACGTTTTCTTTTGCTAAACTATAGAGGTGACTGCTTTCCCAGCAAGTCATCTGAGTTCAAAGGTAAGAAGGATGAACTGCGAACTTGCAGTAGGCTGGTGGTATTTCAAGAGGAGAATTCTGGCTTTGCTGGGCATATGGGGCACTTACACACATGCAGGGAGCCTGCTCTGACACTGAAAATCCAGCACACTGGAGCAGATTCAATTAATCGAGTGTACTGGAGCACGTAAATTGATGCTCTGGCAGCCTTGCGCATGACATGTATATCCGCGGTACAGGGCACCTCCACACTGAGAAAGTGATGGTAGTGTTCTGTGAACTAAAACCCGTTCTGTGCGCTTTAGTTAAAAGTGCACCCGCGCCACTTTCTCAGCATGGAGGTGCGCTGCTGATGCACGTGACACGTGGACAGTTTTTTAATTAGTGCAGCTCACTAATTAAAAGTGCCCGGCACTGCATCAGGAGCACATGTAAAAATGCCCATGAAGCCCAGCTCTTCTTTGGGTGAATCTGTCTATGTGAAAATGCTCTTCTCCAAGAAAAGGAAGCTTTTTTTTTTTTTACCAACACCAGAGGTACCAGGACTGGATTTCATGGTGTCTGAAAGCTGAGTGCCAGGCTATCCAGGACAGCCACAGCAGTGCAGTGTTGGCTGCTGTTGTACTGGCACAATCTTGCCTGTCTTGTCTGTTTCTAATCCATGATTGCAGTCTCTTTTATCTTCTGTGCCAGTGTGGCATATTCCTCCCTCCCCAGACGAAACCAAATCAATCAACACCATGAACTTGCTATAACCACCATTCTCACCCCTTTCTCATTAAAAAAACTGGGGGACTGTGGTGTTGACACCTACACAATCAAATGTGTTGCCAACTGGCTGGAGGGCCGCACCCAGAGAGTGGTGGTGGACGGGTCATTTTTGACCTGGAGGGATGTGGGCAGTGGGGTCCCCCAGGGCTTGGTCCTTGGACCTGCGCTGTTCAACATCTTCATCAGCGGCTTGGACGAGGGGGTAAAAAGCACCCTGTTCAAATTCGCAGATGACACTAAGATGTGGGGGGATGTGGGCACACTAGAAGGGAGCAATAGGCTGCAGTCGGATCTGGACAGGCTACAGGGGTGGGCGGATGAGAACAGGATGGGATTCAACACTGACAAGTGCAAGGTGCTGCACCTGGGGAGGAACAACCGGCACCATACCTACAGGCTGGGGAACTCTCTTATCATCAGTACAGAGGCAGAAAAGGATCTTGGAATCACTATTGATGCCAAGATGAACATGGGCCGGCAGTGTGGGGATGCAGTCAGGAAGGCCAACCGCACCTTGTCGTGCATCCACAGATGCATCTCGAGCAGGTCCAAGGAGGTGATCCTCCCCCTCTACGCGGCACTGGTCAGGCCGCAGCTGGAGTAC